TGACTGCTCATTGGAAGGATTGATAATGAAGCTCAAGCTCAGATACTTTGGCCATCTAATGTGAAGAGAGAACTTTTTGAAAAAGACCCTGATGCTGGGAAAGATTGAAGGCAAAAGGAGAAGGGGATGCCAAAAGATGAGATGGTTAGATAGGATCACCGAAGCAACGAACGTGAAATTGAGCAAACTCCGGGAGGCAGTGAAGGACAGGAAGGCCTGGCGTGATATGGTTCATGGGGTCATGAAAAGTCGGACACGACTTAACGACTGAACAACATAGATTATACAGTAGAAAAAGATTAAGACATGAGACTAATTCACAGAAGTATGCCCATTGTCAAATCCTTGTTTTGCATATTTATGATCAATGTGTTGCAGAATCATGCATCACGAATTTAATCCCCAACATTTATTAATTCAAAGGGTACTGCAGCTCATTGCTCTGGCCACGTATGCTGTACTTTGTGCAATTAAGCACAATTAATTAATAAGTAAAATAAATGGCAGAGGTCATGCATGATTGTAAACTAGGAAATTCTGAATCACAGTCTGTTGAACCAGCTCCAATGGCCTAGTTAGGCTAAGCCAGAAGCAAAGACTCCTGATAGCTCAACATATTGAGCAAAGATGTAATTCAGAAGAGGTAAATAAAACTAAAACCAGTAGTGGGGAAGATGTGAAGTTGACTGAGAGCAAAACACACCTGTTTTCCTCCAAACAATGTAACAAAGAAAGGAGGAAAAGAGGAACCCAAAATCATGATCTTGGAAGAAAAATAAAACGCTTGAAACCTTAGGATTTGCAAAAATAAATAATGGAAAACATGGTAGAAGTGTACAAAGTTATGCACGGGGAGAAGAAAGTGATGAAGATCTTCTCTCCAAAATGGTCGAATGGGATCACCCCTGGAGGCAGAAGGGTGGACCATTCATCCAGGCACAGTAAAATACTTCGCTGCCACGCAGTACATCGGCAAACCGCGGGATTTGCCACAGCCTCTTAATCTGCACAGTTTTAAAAGGAGGATTAGCCAAACTCAGCGAAGAGGACAACAAGATCAGGTTGTGGCGACCCCCGGGTCCTAGTTAAATGTCCGTTTACGGAAGAACTGGAAGTGGCGACCGCTTCCCTTAATCTAACCACCGCAGGCACCGAAGGCTGGGCTGGATGGGCCTCTAGCTTGCCCCCACCTGCCTCGCTGCTATCTTGCTGAATTCACGGTACTCCCAGGCCGTCCCCAGTGAGTCTGGGGTGGATGAGCCTTTGGGGGGGGGGCCTAGGCTG